GTGGCTGCAGTGACAGCTTCACGCCTCGCAGTGACGGGAAGAAACACTTAACGCTCTTTTTCTTTGCGGAAATGTCCTGAGTGCCTGCACAACTTTATGTTCTTGTTTTTTTGTTTTTTTTTTATTGTGTGGAATGATGAGGTTCCATAAATAGCAGCGGAGCATCTTCACATCTGCAGCTTCACGTCTTACTTTAATTACATCAAAACAAAAAAATAACCAGCACGTCTTCTTTCATTCAGTTATCCGTCAGTTACTTTAAAATCTACCACGCATCAAAGGACTTCAGCCATGTCTTTTTCCGTTCATCCATTTCCTGCCAATTATCAGTGGTCGGGTCACGAAGGCAACAGGTCCAGGAAGACGTCCCTTTTCCAAGAACTTCCCAGGCCAGAGAGGATACACAATCCTTCCAGGGAGTTCTGAGTCTTGCCCAGGGTCTCCTCCCAGTGGGGTGTGGCCAGAAAACCCCCCAAAGACACCTGAACCCCCTCAGCTGATCTTACAACAGAAGCTCAATTTTGGCTGCTTTTACCCAGCATCTTTACATATTTTTTCCTTAAAATCAAACTTCCTAATTTAATTCTAATAACTTTTGTAAAGATTTGTAAATATCCAGTTGTGTTGATGAAGATTCGCTGAGAGTCTAGGAGACTTTTTTTAAAGATTAAGCTCTCGGAGGTTCATGATCGGAGCTTAGCAGGAGTCAGTAAAGATCCTCACAGATATCCTCACATATGCCATTAGGAGGAGTGGATCAAGCAAAGCTCCTTACAGGATCAACAGTGCACTGCAGGGGATCATGATGGGAACTGAACCCCCACCCMCCTCCCTGACTCTGACACCACTTTTTCTGGTCCAAAACAGAGAAACACAAAATTTTATGTATGTGCTCACTGGGAATGATTCAAAAAGTGGCCAGACTGATTTTTAGCGATAAAATTTAAGAAATTGGATTTTTATTGTCCACCTGGGCTGGTGAGGTTGTATGAATTCCTTCAATGAAAGCTTGTGTGACATTTTTTTTCCTCGTTTTGCGTTCTCTGTAAATTCACGTTATTTTGTATTTTATATAAAAATGTTTTATTTATGTTGCTTTGGACAGGTTTCCTGTTTTAGTTATCTGTCTTCTGTTGTCACTTTAGTCAAACGTATCGGTTTTTGTAACCCTATAACACTAGTTCCACACTCACACACCTGTGTCTCATTTGTAATCGCACCTGTTCACTCATTAATCACCCTCACCTGAAGATTTAAGCTTCATAATTTTACTCAACTGCTTTATGAATTCTGTCCAGTGTCTTTTTTATATAAATAATGTTTTATACATTTTTTTGGTTTGTTTTTTATCTGTCCATCCATCCGTTTTCTTCTGGCTATCCGGGGTCAGGTCGCAGGGGCAGCAATCTAAGCAGAGAGACCCAGACTTCCCTCTTTCCAGCCACTTGGTCCAGCTCATCCAGGGGAATCCCAAGGTGTTCCCAGGCCRGCTGAGAAACATAGTCCCTCCAGCRTGTCCTGGGTCTTCCTCTGGGTCTCCTCCCAGTGGGACGTGCCTGGAACACCTCACCAGGGAGGCGTCCAGGAGGCATCCTAACCAGATGCCTGAACCACCTCAGCTGGCTCGTCTCGACGTGGAGGAGCAGCGGCTCTACTCTGAGTCCCTCCTGAATGACTGAGCTTCTCACCCTATCTCTAAGGGAGAGCCCAGACACCCTGCAGAGGAAACTCATTTCAGCCGCTTATATTCACGATCTCTTTCTTTCGGTCACTACCCAAAGCTCGTGACCATAGATGAGGGTAGGAACGTAGACCGAACGGTAAACCGAGAGCTTCGCCTTCTGGCTCAGCTCTCTCTTCACCACAACAGACCGGTACAGCGCCCACATCACTGTAGACGCAGCACTAATCCACCTGTCAATCTCCTGCTCCATTCTTCCCTCATTCATGAACAAGACCTGAGACACTTAAACTCCTCCACTTGGGGCAGAACCTCTTYCCGACCCGAAGAAGGCACCCTACCCTTTGCCGGCTCAAGACCATGGTCTCGGATTTGGARGYRCYGATCCTCATCCCGGCYGCTTCACACTYGGCTGTGAACCKYTCCAGTGAGAGCTGGAGATCAGGATCTGATGAAGCCAATAGGACCAATCATCCGCAAAAAGCAGAGATGTGATCACCAAAAGGGATCCTCTCAACACCTTGGCTGTGCCTAGAAATTCTGTCCGTTAAAGTTATGAACAGAATCTGTTCAGTGTCTTTTTTATATATCTTTTTTTCTAYGTTTTCTGGTTTGTTTTTATCCTTAATTATTAAGTACCTTTTAGAATTATACCTGCCCGTCTGCTGCTCTGCATTATTGAATCTTCAACCACCAGCAACTAAAAAACAAAAACAAAACAAGACAAAAAAACATTACAGGTAGTTTATTTAGCAAATAAAGCAAGTTTATCTGTACCATCTACTGCTGAAGTCTTATATTTTGGTTTCAGACAATTTAAATAATTAATAAACAATATTTTCATTTGAGGCTTCTTTGTTAAAATGATCATCAKTGAGAGTGGAGCAAAGAGAAGATGCTGTATTATAAAACATTTGTCATTTGTGTGGTATTAACTGACTGTGTTTGACTGGAATTCTTATTTTACTGTTTTTAGACTTCATGATCTAATGTTGCAACACTGAGCCTGCCCACTAATGGCAGTTAAATTTTGCTAAATGTGAAGTTTAAAGAGAGTTTTTATTCTCTGGACGGACCGCAGTCGTTAAAAGCTTTAAGATTTTGTAAACTGGAGTCCATCTGGAGGCTTTGTGTGTCCTTGAGTAAACAGTACTCCTGAGTCATCAAATACACAGAATACTGTGTTTTCTAGTGATTCTTTCTGAAAATCCCTCCTTCTGTCAGTGTGGTGTCAGTTGAAGAACAATGTATCGGTCTCTCTCTGTGATGAGCTTCCTGATGGTTGTCATCACATTTTTAGGTTACAGCTTTCTTACATCTGTCGAGACCCTGTTTTGTCTGAGAGACTCACCAGGATCATCACCCCTGCAGTGCACCCCCAAATCCTTCCACTCCTCAAACCTGTAATCCCTAATCCCAACTACCCCATCATTCAAGTACATTAGTGAATTATTTAATCCAAAAACATAAGCGACCCCAGAGCAGCTTTTTGCACGAGTCAAYGAGCCCCCCTCAGATGAAGTCTTTGAGTCCGCCTTGTTCATCTTGTAGTGTTGGAAAGTAGAATGTGACATAATGGTGTGGCATTAAAATGTTGAAAAAGCAAATAGTTCTTTAATTCTTTAATCTCTATAAGATCTAGAGAAACTCATCCATGTRKCACACCTGACTTTGATCACTGGGTGATTAACAGGCTTCTGCCCAATTTGAAGAGTTAATTCAATCACTGAATCAGGTGTGTTTGAGCTGGAAACCTCYAACACATGCAGGATAGCGACCCYCGAGGACTGRAGTTTGRCAACYCTGCTTTAAACCCTCCTGTTTAGAGTTGCTTATGAAACATAATAAATGAAACATTAATCAACATTTTGATGTGTAACGATGGCACCTGACAAACTAATGATTCCGTTGTTAACAGTGTTGTATGACTTTGAATTTTTTGTGTTTTTATGATGTAAAGCACTTTGAACTGCCTTGTTGCTGAAATGTTTGACATGACTAAATTGTCACTGAACTTAAGCAAAACGAAATTCATTACTTTTGGGTTTGGCAGAGCTAAACTAGAATTACAAGTTCATTTAGAGAGGCTTCAAATTGAAAGGGTGACTGAAATTAATTTTCTTGGAGTAATAACTGATGAAAAAATAAGCTGGAAATCTCATATCAGACATGTACAAGCCAAAGTGTCAAGGGGAATTGAAATATTGCGTAAAGCAAAGCAAGTTCTGAATTACAAATCACTTCATATTCTTTACTGTTCCATAGTTCTTCAATATTTAAATAATTGTGCAGTAGTTTGGGGCAATAATTATAAAACTTTTATTCAACCATTATTCATTTTGCAAAAGAAAGCAATAAGGGTAATTCATGGGGCTGGATATAGGGATCAAACCAATTCATTATTCTTTTTTGTCAAAACTACTAAAATTTACAGATCTGGTAGAGGTACAAACAGCACTAACATTTAAAGGCAATATTCAGAAATTATTTGTTGAAGGGGAGGRGAGTTATCATTTAAGGGGTCAGTTTAACTTTAAATCAAGGATTGTTCATACAACTCGTAAAGGGTTTTGTATTTCTGTTGGTGGAGTAAAACTGTGGAACAGTCTGAGTCTGGAACTTAAGGAATGTCCAAACATAAAAAAATTTAAGGAGATGTATAAAAATGTTATTTACAAAAGATATAGGGATGCTGAGTATGTTTGAGTATTGTTATTATTTTTTTATTTTACTGTATTGTTTTTATTGTTTGTTTTTTGCAATATATGGAGATGTTTGGGGCTGTGTGTGTACACGTGTGCACGTATAAATTTAAGTGTGTATACATATACACTGCATGTAGATGTACATTTATGAATATATTCTGGTATTCAGTAAAATTCTAGGTAAACAGATTGTTGTTTTAATCTTTATGAAATTGTAACTTAGAATAAGACAAAAGAAGAATTTTCTATTATTTTTTTGTTAATAAGCTTTGGAGAAGGGTGGGATTAAATAAGTTTTTGACTTCTTCCCATTCTTTTTCAAAAATGTTAATTTTGTTATCCCTTTTTTATAATTTTTTGTTTTGTATACATGTTTGAAATTTAAAAAAGTGCTAGAGGGGTGTCAAACTCATTTTCACCGAGGACCACATGAGCRTTATGTTGGCCCTCGAAGAGCCAGTTGTAGTTAACTTTGACGTTTCATGCTTAACTTTGTCTAAACAGTGTTTTAACAYGTCCTCTTTWAAACACTGATAAGAAAAATAAACTTGACTGACTGACTGATTTAACTCAGACTAATTGATGCTAAAAGATTTTTCTCTGTTTTCGTGCAGGAACTCTGGTTGGGAACAATGCYACTGAGCCAGAGAGCAAAGTCAACATCACCTCTCCGTTTATCCAGGAGGATGTGCCGGAACAGGTCAGCGAAGCCATCACCAYGGTGACCGGGACGAGCAGCTCCGCCACTTCCGAGCCGATCAGCGCCGTGACCCAGAGGGCGGGCCGGGCGCCGCGCCAAGACAGGGAGGACGATCAGAGCAGCGGCATGTTCGGCGAAGCGCCGGTCCCCACGGTGGAGGAGGCGAGCGTGGCGCCGCCGCCCCAGATCAGTTCCGATTCGGCGGAGACGGAGCACCTGTTGCCTGGCAACCCRCAYRTGCCCGACGTKGCRGAGGGCGAGGAGGAGAGGGACGAAGAGGAGGAGCGCCTGCCGCACACTGCCCCGCCCTGGATCCACGCCAAGGACACTGCCATGTTTGATCTGGACCACCTGACTACGACCACTGCCTCCCCGCCCCCCGCCACCACCCACCCATCCAGCCCGTCTAGCCCCTCCCACCCAGATGTTCTCCACGTGGACTTCTTCGACCCCGCCTCTCGTGGGCGCACCCTCGACCTGGCCCCTCCCTCTCCGTCATCTCTGGCCCACGAGCTGCAAGGCGGCGACGCGACTTCCTGGGCGATGCCGGAGAACTACGACTACATTACGCCCTATGAGGACGGCGTGTCCCCCACGGTTGAAGAGTACACCTACAGCACCACGACCGACGCTTACGAGACCGACGAAGACCTTCGGGAAGCCGCGGGGTCTCCAGCTCGCTCCAAGCCCGGGGTCCCCGGGTCTGACTCCTTCTTCCCCGGTTTTGGCATCCCAGTACCAAGCATCCGTGGCGTGGCGAACCCCGCCCTCTCGTCTAACGGGTGCAGAGCGGGCTACCAGATGGTGAATGGAAGCTGCCGCTCCGCCTGCGACATGCAGCCCAACTATTGCTTCAATGGAGGACAGTGTTACCAGCTGGGTGGAGATGAAATGTTCTGCAGGTAAGAAGCAGAAAAGTCCCTTCAAAATTCTTCCATCTAGACCTGGACTCACATTTGYATACATAGTTTATCAGTTAAATGAGTTTGATAGAGATTGAAACACGTCGTGCTTTTAAACCCTTCCCTTTCACATTCAAATCATTCAGTTGGGGTTCCTTTAAAGGGGCAATATCATCTAAAATCAACTTTTTTGAGCTTTGTATCATGTTATAATGTTATCCCCTCATCAAAAACATGCCCAGAGTCTTACTTTGACTCTTTCATGCATATTTGAGAAATCCTGTAGTGTCCTGAGGCAGCCGGGCAGGGGAATAAAAATTACCAGTTGGAACCAGCACTTGTTTAGGAGCAGCTCCTCCTCTGGGCTGTGTCTCCAAGACGAGCTTCCTCATCAT